CAAGACAGGGTCTCACTCTGTCACCCAGGCTGGAGTGCAGTGGTGCGACCTCAGGTCACCACACCTCCAGGTCCGAGGTTCAAGTGATCCTCCTGCCTCAGCCACACAAGTAGCTGGGATTACAGGAGTGCATCACCATGCCCGGCTGATTTTTTTAATTTTACTAGAGACGGGGTTTTGCCATGTTGGCTGGATTACTCTAATTCCAAAAATTAAGGATAGAGTTAGAACCAGAAAAACTCTACATACTACAACTTTACCTGTAAGACATTGTCTCCATCTGCATCCAAGGGAGCCTGAACTAATTTAATGTTGAACACGCTGTGGGAACGGCTGGACTCACGATTCAAATGGGTATTAGCAATACGTCTCTTTTTCTGGCCTGTGACAACAGAGAAATCACTGATCAAACCCGAACTTGGTCATTTCATTACACATGCTTTCTAGGAAGTCAAAAAAGATTGCTATCAAATTTAGTAGCAACTCTAGGTGATATTTATCATTCTATATTTTTCTAGTTGTAGTGTTTCTAACCTCTCCAGAAAACTTCAAAAGCCTCATCAGTAGATTTCACTTCTACTTCCGTACACCCTGCAACATACATGTTATGGTTCTTATCTTCACGAAGCAATTTAGATTGTGGAGGTCTATGGGAAAGAAAAAAAAAGATTAGTTTCCTAAATTATAAGATGCCAATCTCTTCATTTAAGAGTAGGACTAAAATGCCAGGCGACATGACATGCTATTCTTCTAATGAAAATTATAAATATTTTATAATAAACATATAATGTATAATACTCCAGAGAAATATTAAACTTAGATTGTAAAGCTAAATAGTCAAGATTAATTACATAACAATAGAAACAAATTATGTTTTAAAAGCTTTGCTCTAATTTGTTCTAAGAAAGCACATGAAGCAATACTTACTAAACAATTAGAGACCAAAGTAGTATTACAGCTACATCACATGCACAGGTTAAGCACCAAAATCTAGTATTTTCCTAATTTTAAAAGACTAGCAGTTAGAACCGGTTCTGACCTCCTCAGCAACAGCGGAAAACAAATTCAGAAAGAGTTTGGTATATACCAGGAGTGGCAATCCTTTCAAAGTGGCTTACGAAGTTTTAGTCTGTATGGCAAGATGAAGGTTGGGTAAGAAAGCTGCCTGTTTGGTCTTAGTCTTGTGAATGGTGAGGGTAGAGACATTTACCAGCCACCATCACTGATAGTCAATAGCAGATTTTTCAGGAAGCAAGGAGGGCTTAGAGACAGCAGCCAGCCCCGTGACAATGGAAAATAACCTACATGCAAACATGCCACAGAATGCCAACCATAGTATAACTGCACCCTTCTCCCTAAGAAAAGAGCCAACACCATCACACATACACAAAATCTGTGTTCCTCATGGGTGTGCTGCAACTGTTCCACCTACCAAAGGAATAAGGTAGACGTTATGTTTCCACAGCAGCCATCTCACACCATGTTCAGTCCAGACTATGTGAAAGTCACAGTGGGTCATATCTTAAAAACCCTCCACTTGCAATAGTTTCTCACTGTATTAAAAACTACTAAAAGTTAACTAGCTTTAAAAAGCAGGCCTGGGCCGGGCACGGTGGCTCAAGCCTGTAATCCCAGCACTTTGGGAGGCCGAGGCGGGTGGATCACAAGGTCAAGAGATC